AGAGAGAGAGAGAGAGAGAGAGAGAGAGAGAGAGAGAGAGAGAGACGGATAACATTGACATACCAAAAATGCACAGACCATGGTGATCAAAGCTGTCACGGAGGCAAACCCTTCCACAGTTCCGGACATACCCTGTGTCATCATCACCCATCCCGGAAACACATCCTTCCTCTTCCTTCAAATAGTCCTGATACTCTAGACACGTCTAGCACATGAGGTGGACCCTTGGATACATCTTTTGCTGTTTACAACAACCCTACATAAGTGGGTTCCCTACTTTCCATGATGAAAGCTGTGTCGCACGGCAAACATGTTCACCTGCTTTCCAAATGTGCGAACACGTTCGGGTGTTCACACGAACATGCCACGAACATGTTCGCACAAATGGGGAAAAAATGCCCGCAAACATGTTCGTATATTCCTGGTGGAACGGGGGGTGGAGGTGTTGGCGGGGGGCTGCGATGCCAGCGGGGTGGCGGGCAGGGCAGGCGGCATTGAGAGAGAGAGAGAGAGAGAGAGAGAGAGAGAGAGAGAGAGAGAGAGAGAGAGAGAGAGAGAGAGAGAGAGAGACCATCTCTCCAAATGTGCAGAATGAATCTTCTGCGCGAACCCAGGAAGATTCATTCTCGTTTTGCACATTTGGAGAACCCAGCCCGCTACTCTCCAAACGTGCAAAATGAGAGTGAATCTTCCCGCCTTCTAGCGGAAGATTCATTCTGATGTTGCACGTTTGGAGAGTAGTGGGCCACGCTCTCCAAATGTGCAAAACGTGAATGAATCTTCCTGATTGGCGCGGAAGATTCGTTCTCATTTTGCACATTTGGAGAGCGCGGTCCTCTCTCTCTCTCTCTCTCTCTCTCTCTCTCTCTCTCTCTCTCTCTCTCTCTCCCCTATCAAAGTCTAATACCTATATTGTCAAATAGAACTGTATATATTACATACAGCTCCTGACTAACAGGTCCAAAACTGAAATTAGGGTTTGGGCCTGTGGGCCCTATGGAGAAAATGTTGCACACATACCATTGAGGGTCTCTGCATAGAAGGGGAAGAGGTAACAGACACAATAAAGCAATATATTCAGCAAGAACTCATAGTACAGTGGCGGAAGGTTAAAGACCGACTCGACCTGTTTCACTCAGCACAAGATATAACACGAGCAATTCATCAATTCTCTGGGGACTGGTTGGGTAGTGAGAAGGGGGGCTGGATTGCAGGTATTAGATGGGATGGAAAGCCTGCCCAGGGGTGCAACCAGGAGGAGTTCAGGAGAGACTACCGGATCTGCTTCAAGGATAGGACTACAGTGGGTCAGGAAATCCCGCTGAGACCTGCAACAGATTTTCCTGACCCCTTCCCCCCTCACCAGCTGGCAATGGTGGACATTCAATGGTATGGAGCGGACTGAATGGGCAATGCACAGCTATAGAGCGGACTGGTACAGTTGAATGAATAAATGGGAAGCTGGTGGGGCAATGAAGTTGGTTGTGGCAGGAGGGGATGGGAGGAACTAGGGTGTAGCAGCAGGTATCTGGCGCCAGGTCCAGGGTGAAGAGGTCCCCCCCCGCCCCCCCCAACATCCTGCTCAGTCAATCCCCTGGACCCCAGGGTAATAAATGCTCGCAGGTAAATTCTGCATCTCCTTTTTATGATATGGTTCGAATTCTGTCCATGTAAGGGACGCTGGACCCAGTTTCCAGCGGGTGTCGCTCCCCACCAGTAGATGGAGCCCCCCCAGGTGTTAGCGGTGGCTGCTCTTATCAGCACCACTAGCACTGACGGGGAGGTTTTTTAAAAAAAAAAAAAAAAAAAAAAAAAGTTTGGTGCCTTAACTTTGGGCCCCTTGAGGGTCAAAATTTAACCTTTTTTTTTGTTTTATTTTTTGCCTGTTTTTGTTTTGGTTCAAGGTTGTTGTGTACCGATTTTGGTCTCATTTGGAGCATTGGAATTTCCTCCGCTAAGATTTCTGAAATTGAATGTTGACCAGTGCTGGGCCGGCAACCGACCGGTCGAGCTACCCCGGTCCAACCGGAGCCGGACCAGCCCAGGGGGGGTGAACCGGGAAACCGGTTTTTAAAAAAAGTGCCCAAATATCTTTTTTTTCTTTTTTTTTCGGCAGATTCCAACTGCGCTCTTCAAGAGCTGTCGGAATCCACAATAAAATTTTCAAGGTGCAATATTTTTCAGGGGGCTTCCAGAGGGGGGCAGGGGGTTATTATTGACATATTCAGGCAACTATGGCTTCCACGGGGAGGGGTCAAGTAAGCCAGTTCACTTATCCGACCCCCCGGTGGCTGGAGCACTTCGTGGAGTGTGTCATTTGATATTGATACTCCACGAGCTGAACCAGATATGATGAGAAGAGGTCCTTGCCAGAAGTTATAGCTCTTCCAGAGTATAACTCGACAGCAGAAGAGTTATGGTTCCCGCTTTCAGCTCGTGGAGGCAGAGCGTTTTCTGTTTGTTGGTTTCTACATAAGGTGAGTTATCAGTCCGGAAGTATCTTGCCTGGTAGTCTGTCCAGACTCCAGATACATGTAGTGGAGCAAGGTCCATTCGAGATAGATAGAGATGAATATAGCTTAGGGCTTGCACCTCGGATGGCTCTGACATCACGATTCCAAAATCCGAACCCATAACTTTTTCCACAGATGGCAGGGACGTTGCAGAAGGATATAATCTCAGCAGAGCCTCATCACAAGCATAGTGTTCCCCTCGTGGCTGAGGGTGAAAGAGCATCAGATGTTGCCAATGGTAACTGGCCCGTTGGACCAAAAGATGACAAATTGAAGAAGGGGCCTACCCGACCCACATCTTAGGAAAAATGTGTGGCCGTTCTCCGCTGCTGATCTGCAAAGATCAGGGGCGGATATCCTCGGCCCGTTTTTCTTAAGAAATGGGGTCCTGGCCGATCTTTGCCGCTGATCTGCGACGATCAGCAGCCAAGATTGGCCACTTTTTGGACTTGAAAAATCCGGGCCTACAGGACCCGGTTTCGAAATTGCGGGGCAGGGCCCACCCCAACGGGGCCTCGGGAACACGTACGCGCCGGCAAAAAAAAAATTCAGGCCCCAGCGAAAATGCGCTGGGGCCAACCGGGAGGGAACCGGCCCAGGCCACCGGCCGGTCCAACCGGGAGGACCGTGGATGGGGTGGGGGTCCCCGGTCCATCCGGGGACCAGCCCTGATGTTGGCGAAATTTGCATCAAAGTGCCTCCTACAACCCCACAGCCGGTGGTACGTGGAGCCTATCCTTGGCCGCCTTTAATTCAGGCAGCAGTAAGACAAACTAATACGGTACTCTGAATGTAGTGGCACTATACTTTACGGGAGCCATTACGATTGGTATGTTTCTGGAGTTGAATGTGCACGTCTTGGCCGGTGAGATCGCAGGAGTTGCAACAAGAAAGCCGAGAGTTCTCTTGCAAGGCAGTGTGCTTCTACCAGAAAGGTTACTACCTACTATGTATGTTATTCTTGAATGCTACTGTGTAAAAAGTTACCACCAACGGAAACAAAAACAAACTAAAACTGAACTATACTGCATCCTGAACCAACAAGCCTCATAAGGGGTATCAATAGGTTCAACCGATAGAGTCAGACTGTTACATGCTGCGCCTGCACACGAGGGCCATTTTCCAGGCCCTGCGTCCCTCAGGCTGAAAGCCTGAAATTCAGGCTAAAAGCCTGAAAACCAGGGCCTACAGGCCCCGTGACTGTTCAGCCCGAAAGCCTGAAAACAGGGGCCTACAGTCCCTGTGTCGTTTCAGACTAAAAATGGCAATAGCCTTTTTAGCCTGAAACGAAGGGCCATTTTTGGTCGTTCATCAGAACGACTGGCCCTGAAACTCAGGCACCGAACCAGGGTTTCGGGAACAGGCTATTCTTAGCCTGT